TGTTATATTTGTGTTTTATTTATTTATTTATTTATTTATTTATCACACACATACACACACACACACACACACACATACACATACATACACACACACACGCACACACACACACACACACACACATACATACATACATACATACATTGCGGGCAGAGGGTTGCAGCAGGAGGCTGTCAGAGCCAAAAACGCAGCTCGGGAGCCCATTTTCCATGGCAGAGTATTCGGGGCGCCACAGGTGCCCCCGACACGAGTGACATTGAGCAGGGCACACCCACCCTGGCTACACCCCCACCCCCCTAAGTCAAACACAACCCTGATGCAGCCCTCAATGAAATCACGTCTGACACTCCTGTTCTAGAACATATCAAGAAAAGGAAGTCTATCACCACCCAACCCCCATTACCTGTCTGGGCTGTTCAATCACTCGTTGTGGGTCAGACTTCACTTTGTTGTTAGGATGGTTTGTAACTTTGGTAACAGGCTGTTTAAAAATAGAAGCTGTCTGTCTGATTGGCAACGTTGTGTTTAAATCTGGTTTACCCTGTATTGAAGAGGAAAGAGAGAAAAAATAATTATATATTACCTTAGGTTGATCTACCAGCCAGGTCAGTATGAAAAGTCAATACTTGATCAAAAAGATAAGATCCTAATATTTTTGGAGCTGAACATGAAATGTCCCATTAATTAGTTCAACACAAATGTGAATGTTATGGACTGAATTATATTTGTATAATAAGGTGAAGGTTTCCGTTTATTTGTTCCCGACTTTAAGTTCCGTTTCAAAGCTGAAGAGCCAGTGCTGTCCGTAGACATCTCTGTGGTCATGTGGCTGGCATGACTAAATGCCAAAGGCGCACGGAAAGCTGTTACCTTCCCTCCAAAGGTGGTTCCTATTTTTCTACTTGCATTTTCACATGCTTGCGAACTGCTAGGCTGACAGAAGCTGGGACAAGTAATGGGAGCTTACTTTGTTATGCGGCACTATGGGGTTCGAACCGCCGAACTGCCGACCTTTCTGATCAACAAGCTCAGCGTCTTAGTCACTGAGCCACCACGTCCCTTCCATTATGTATTTGCATAACAGATACTCCTCAAAGCCTGGGATCTCGGTTTATGATGCCAAGAAGGTTTTTTTAAAAAATTCCTGATCTTCAAGCCAAATTATTTCAAAATGGAAAAAGGGGGGGGTCATTTTACTATTTGTCAGGCTTCTAGAAATCTCCTCAGCGTGGAAACTTCCATTCTGATACAGAGAAGCTGTTGATCCAAAGCTGAACGAAAAGGAAGGGTAGCTTCCTTGAATGTTTTCGAGAGAGAGAAAATAATCCACCCTTCCTGTTTTGAGAGGTTATTTTCAAGGATTGTCTTAAAAGGGGAGAAATGGGTTTATAAAAGCAGTGTAAAAAGAGGTCAGTCAAAGATGGAGGAGATAAAAGGATGATGTGGTTTGTTACGCAGCTGAATTTATTCACCTCTGATCAAGTGATATCTGTAAGTTAAAACAGAAAAACTGGACCAGAGTAACATCTGGTGAGAAACAGTAGAACGCCATCAATAGGAGAGAATATTTGTAGCTCGGGGTTGAATTGTGGGGTCCTTAGTGCTCCCCGAGCTCTATTTTTTNCTCATCACCCCCAGGCCTGCCGGCAAAGCCAGTGAAGGGGCATTGGGCAATTCCTATTGTGGCTGAGAGCTAATCCTACCTTTGTTGGATCTTGTGTATTGCTTATGAATAGAGCTATCTATCTCTTTAAGTGCTGACATCTGCTGTGGGCTATTACGGAAGGCGGGGGCTGCTTTCCAAAAACATGTTTCTCCATTTCTCATCCAGGGAAATATAATATTCTGCCTTTTTGATATTTCTCAAAATATTTCATTCCTCTAGGAGAGGGGTGGGTGCTAACTTTTCTACAGCACCCAGGACCGCTCATTTGAACCCTGAGCTACCAATATTCTCCTTTATGGTTTATTCTCTCTGGCTGTGGCTCCGGAGCTTTATAAAGCTGTATAAAATTACAAAATACAGTCAGAATGAAAGTAGCTAGATTTCGGAACAGACATTTCGAAACTAAACTGCGCAAGTTTCGAACACGCATTTATTCAAATCTAAAACTAAGCTGACATTCTTTTCCAGACCACTGACTAAAATGGGATTGTGTTAACAGGTTTCCTGTGGGTTTTTTTCTTCTCCTTCTTAAGGCACAGAAAACAGAGAGACTTTCCTTTGAGTCATGCTTGACTTCTGATGACTTCATCAACACGGCCTTGAAGTTTTCTTGGCAAACCTCCATCCCTCTTTCCATCCTCCTTTTTATGCCATTTTTCCCCTTCCACTTCTTGTTTACAGTGCCTTAGAATTCCTTAGTCTCCCACCTAAGCATTAACCAGGTACAATCCTGTTTAGCTTTTATAGAATCAGCCAGAATCAAATAAGTACTAATACCACTCTATAAAGCCCTAGTAAGACCACATCCTGGTTGCTCTTCTCTGCATTCTGCAGTACACTAGAGTTTTGGTCCCCACTCTATAAAAAAGATGTTGAGACTCTAGAACAGTGTTTCTCAACCTTGGCTACTTGAAGATGTCTGGACTTCAACTCCCAGAATTCCCCAGCCAGCGAATGCCAAAAGTGAGGGGTAGAATGGGGGGGGGGAGTCGCACATGCATAAAATTATGGGCATGCCCACACATAGCCCCCCCCTGTGCTCCCCCCGCTTTTGGCACACGATGGGGAAACTGTCTTAGCATATCATTCAAAACCAATTTTGGTTTATTCAACAAACCACGACTGAATGTAATGTATGAATTCAGCCACTAGGTGGCTTCTTAGCCTCACTTACATTGTAGGACAGTGGACGTTTCTCAATCTTGACAGTTTTTAAGACGTGTGGACTTCAGCTCCCAGAATTCCCTAGTCAGNCAGCAGCAGCAGCAGCTGAGTAGGCAGCAAAAGTATTTGCTACAAAATGGTGGCGTCTTCTTTTAGAATGGAAATAAAAGTTGAAGGAAGAGATTAAGGAACTCTCTGGTTTTGTTTCCTTCCCTTCCTGCCAAACATCACCAGCCATTGGCAAAACGTCCACCAATCAGTCTACTAAATGCAGAATAGGTTTGGCTGTGGAAGAGGCAATTTCAACAGATGGCTAGACCAAAAAATGTTACCATCTGTCAAAACTCACCCCTGGCATTGCACAAGTATTCAATCCATGTGTGTTCAAAAGTCCCCCACTTAACACCAGATCAGTGCTAAGAGGGGATTTTGTAGTAAAATAGGAGTAGCCAGTTTTCCCCTGCACCATTATATTTATACCCCCCCGCAAAGAATCCATCATCTGTTAGATAAGCTTCTTTGAGACACAGGTTTAGCATCCTAACACATGTTCAAATCATGCCCATTTAACAGCTGACTGGCATTTGTTGGCTGTGCTATAGAGCAGCAGTATGGATGAGCTTTTTTGCTGCATTTCACCATGCAGACTCCCTCTTTCATCACTTAATTTTTAGCCAAACTGAGGTCTCTTTCAAAGCTATGAGTCCAAGCCAGGGATTAGTTTCAAAACCACAGATGTAAGGGATAGTTGGGATTGAAAGAGTGTTCTTAAAACAGAAGTCCCAAGTATGAAAAAGAGAGACAGAGACACAAACAGAGAGACAATCTTAACACCATCCTAAAATAGTTAATAAGGTTCCTGGTTGATCCTATTCCCTTAGGGTCACCAGGCTGCAATACTGATTAAATGGCCAGTTACTTGCTTAGGGGGGAAACAGTGGTGGGTTGCAGGCAGTACGCCCCGAGCACTGGGTACCATTTCGGTACAGTGCTCCAGAGGGCCCACCCACCCATTTGAGCTCCTTACCTGTATTTGAGCTCTTCGGTGCTTCCACGCACTGAGCACATGTTGGGAAACCCTGTTTTAGAGAGAGATTAACATTAAGATCCATTTTTAAAATTTTATTGCTTTTTACCATATTTTTCAGAGTATAAAATGCACCTTTTTCCTCATAAAAGAGGCTGAAAATCTGGGTGCATTTTATACATTGAATGCAGCATTTTTTGCCCCCAACAAAAAATGATGACACATGTCTCCATGGTAATGGATCTGACTATTTGAGAGACCGCCTTCTGCCGATTACCTCCCTTCGTCCCATCAGATCGCAAGAGCCAAGGTGGCGCAGTGGTTAAATGCAGCACTGCAGGCTACTGCTAGATCAGCAG